CATTCCAAACAAAATCTCAGCTTCCTTGAAGCTTTGAGAGCTTGTCCTTTTGGTTTGAAGCTTAGTTCTTAATCTTTGGTGGAGTTTGAAGAAATAGGAAGATCATCATGGTGGAAGGGAGCAAGGAACTTTCTTGGATCCACCATCTACTACAGATTTCTGAGTGATTGAAGGTATAGAGTTCTCATCTTGAATTATGCTCTTCTTGGTGCAAGTTTGAGACCTTTTTTTAAGGTTTTGGTCCCTTCCTTGGATGCTCTTGGATTTTGAAGAACTCTAGAGCTTGTGATGGTTTTTCTAGGACATTAGACTTCTGTAGAATAAGAAAAAGGACCATGTTTGGTGTATCTTGTGTTCATGCTCAAGTTATAGCCTCATTAAGGACTTAATCGGCTTAGAATGTTAGATCTAGCCTTCGTATAAAGTTCTAATATTTTGGAAACTTTATCCATTAAGTTAGTGTGAAAGAGTATATATGATATTTTGGGATTTGATCTGGAGGGATTAAGCACTTAATGGAAAAGTTGGCCTTCTGCCAGATCTAACGACATGACCAAGGGTTTGCCGCATCGTGACGATTCTCGAATGCCCGACTGTTTTGTGTTTAGCTGGCCACGACGTAACAAAGAGCTTGCCACATCGTGGGGAATCGTCGACCGTTGACTTTTGTTGACCTTTGACCGTTGAATTTTTTACATGTTTGAATTTGAGTCAAACTTGAAGGAATTTGGTTTTGATTAAGGCTCTACCATGTTTCAGTGTTATTAGGTTTGTAGAATCAACGAGTGTAGAGAGTGAGCGTGTTGCTGTGTTTTTTGGGCTTCCAACTCAGGTGAGTTTCCTCACTATACTATGTATTACAATGTATATCTTTATATGTTAGGATATAGGAGTAGTACTATGTTGGTTAGAGTACCAGTGGGTTGGTGATCGTCTAGTGGAGTTCCCTAAGGTTGTATGTAGTCACGTAGGATAGCTTGAGAACTCTTGATCTAGGCTTTCTTGCATGTTCTTTTTTTGGTTGTGGCTCTAGAGTGGCATCTCCTGCTCGAATGTATATCTAACATATGGTTACACATTGCTATGTATTCCTTAGAGATATGTCGGTAGTGGTGTAGCACTATATGAGGCCGGGTATGTGAGAGTGAGTTGTTAGACAGGTAGACTAGGGTAGATAGTTGCATGTGCTTATGTGATTACTTGATTTCTTATTTTTTTCATATGTTGACATATAGTGGTGGGGTGGGTTGAGGCGGTCATGATTTGTGTTGTAGGCCAACATACCTGGGTGGAACATCGGTGTGACGTAGGCCAGTAGTGGGTCAGTTGTATGCTGAGAAAGAGCGTTCCAGGTGTACTGTAGGCCTTACAAGGCGATCCAATCAAATTGTAGGCTCGAGGCAATCCAGTCTTAGTGTTGAGGGCATGGTGTGCATGCATTGTATGTATATTGTGATGTATGGGATTTTGGGAGAACTCACTAAGCTTTGCCTTGCAGTTGTGGATTATATGTTTTTCAGGTACCAGTGATGATCGTGGGAAGGTGAATGCGTGACTGTACACATTCATCAATACCATGGAGATTCCGTGTTTATTATATTATTACGGTTTTTAAACAAATGTATTTTGGAACAACTGGTTTTCTTAACTTGGATTCTATAAATGTGAAGTTTTACCTAATTAGAAATGAAAATTTTGGTTTTGAAAATGGGACATTACATTTAAGATGGTCACGGCGTGATGAAGGATACATCACGACGCAACTATTGATGCATAAGCGCGCATCCATTTTTGTGGGTCACAACGTAACGAGCAAGTGGTCACGATGTGGCGGCCACATGGGTGTTAACCCTAATTTCGGGTTTTGCGCCCTATTTAAGGGAAGGGGGTAGGGTTTGAACACCCTCAACCTCCATGACCTCCCTTCACACTTAAGAAAACCCTAATCCTCCATTGTTGATTGTGAGCCCCTTTTGGTGATTTTTTGCCTAGAAGAAGAGAAGGAGTTTTGGTGCATCATCAAAGCTAGCAAGCATCTCCCTCATCATCCTGAGCTGCCTTAGGACTCTTGTAAGTCCTCAAGTTCCTGCCTTTTTAGCTCAAGCATGTTAGATCTATAGGTTTGTCCACTTTTCTCAATGTTTGAGGAAGTTTGAGTGTTGGGATCTCATAAAGTTGGCAACTTTATGAGTTCTTGAGGTTCTTTTGTGATCCTTTGTCCCAGATCTGGAGAGTTAGTGGGTCATGTGTCCATGCATTAGATTTGATCTCATTTTTCCTTCATTCTGACCTAGCTTGTGTTCAAGACATGCATTTGATATGCATATCTAAAAAAACAATGTTTTTATGGTGCTTTGGGATGGAGAAAACATTCTGGAAAGTTTAAGTGCTTGACTTGAAGGATTAAGAGCTTAAAGCATTACGTTGTCCAAAGAAATTCTCAAGACGTAATGGGTTGAGTATCACGACGTGACGATGAAAAGCTTCGTGAATGTTTTGTCCTAACGTTATCACAACGTGACCAATGGGAGGCCACAACGTGACAATTAGTTGGGGCTGACTTTGACCATGGTTGACTTTTGGTAAAATTAAGGGTTTTAGGGTGTAGACTGAGAGGGTACTTCTTTATTACTGTTAGGTGTCACATTGTACATGTCTTCTATGTGTGAGAGATGTTGTGTCTAATCTATCTGCGAGGTGAGTCTTCTCACTTTATTACTTATGACATAGCGAATGTGCATGCTGACCAACTAGGTCTTATTTGTTGATTATTGTTATGTGTTACTGAGCTGCTGATAGCTCTAGGGCATGCTACTAGCCCATTGAGATTGCTGATAGTCCCCAAGGTTGTTGATAATCCAGTGGGCGTGTTTTTAGCCCATAAAGCATGTTGTTATCCCATTGGGACTGTTGATAATCTCCAGGGTTGCTAATAAACTATAGTTGTTTACTTTTGTTATGTTTTATGTGATACCTTGGGGAACTCACTAAGCTTCGTGCTTACAATTGTAGATTTAAATGTGTTTCAGGTGCTTCAGATGATCGCGGAAAGGCGAAGGCTTGACTGTACACTCCCCTATGTAGTTTTCAGGATTCTGTATTTTGTGATACTCTGATTTTTGGATGATTGTATTTTGATACTTATTATTTTCTTGACTTAGCTTCACTGGAAACTATGTTTTTATTTAATTTAAAAATGAAAATTTTGGTTGTGATTTTTGGGACGTTACAATCTTCTATAAGGATTGTAAGTTTAAATTTACAAATACATAATTCATAAGATGTATTAATACAAGAGTAAATTACACGAATGGTCCCTATGGTTTGGGTAATTTGCGCACTTGGTCCCTAACTTACTTTTTTAATTCGGAAGGTCCCTACTATTTGTTTTTGTTACACGTTTGGTACCTACTATTTTTTTTTGTTACGTGTTTGGTCCCTGACTTACCTAAAAAAATTATTATTTAAATAGGGAAAATTTGTGGGGTAGGTAAGGTAAGGTGAGGGGGTGGGGTTGGGACTGTGTTTATTTAAATAATTTAAAAAACCAAGGACAAAATAGTCTTTTTAGGTAAGACAGGGACCAAGCGCGTAACAAAAACAAACAGTAGGACCTTCCGAGTTAAAAAAATAAGTTAGGGACCAAATGCACAAATTGCCGTAAACCATAGGGACCATTCGTGTAATTTACTCTTAATACAAACTTGTTGTTCAAAAAAGAATATTACTATAAACTTTTCTTTTGGCACATCCTATGTTTTCGCTTTGCTCATCATAGTTCTTAAACTATTTAACTGTGAATGGATTGGCTATAGGTTGTCTTATGATAGACTCACAATAATATTCTTAAACTATGTTTTACCCCGAGCTCGAGTTTGGCTCATTTCGATCTACAAGTGTAAAAATCAAACTCACTTCATGAATTATTTTACAAGATCAAGTTTTGCTCGAACTCAGCTTGTATTCAGATGAGCTTAAAATAAACCTGCACTTGTAGTATAGTCTTGAGATTGGTTCGTAAACTAAAATTCTAATATTTTTAATGACGTTTTTTATTCTCTTCTTGTAAATAAAAAAAATACAAAGTCGCATGTTATAATTTGATGAGGTAATGACTTGTGATTGTAATTAATTATTGCAATTATATATATATATATATATATATATATATATATATATATATATATATCTATATATATATATATATTAAAGTTGTGTTGCAAGATGAATAGTGAAGTTGCGAGTTTTTGGCAGAAATGGTCCTTTGATTATAAAATTTTGGTATAGGGGTATTTTATGGAAAATATTCTATTCTCTGTCCACGTGTTGTTCATCGTGCCCGATCTCTCAGTATTTGATGTTTATCTGTTTTCGTTCTGTTTGCTTCACGATCCTTCCACCACCTCCCAAATCGAGTCTCCTCTCTTCTTCTACCCTTTGCTCCCTCCGCTTCTTTTCTACTTCTTCATCGCTTCTCCAATCTTAAGCAATCAGCAGGATAACGCACGAACCGCCTTTCACTGCAATAGTATATGTTTGAAAGAAACACATACGCTATGATTTTCTCACGTATCCAACATCGGGTAGGGTTCGACACCGTCACGCACCACCCCCATGGTTGACGCCAGATGAAGATGCAGCCGATGATCAAACCACAGAAGGTGGCAGCGGATCACTTTCCTGTCGTCGATTTGCCCCCTTCACTGCTTGGCTTGGTCGGGTGCTTCCATGTTTCCAATATGTGTCCTTGCTTACCCATAAAGAAGCCAAAGCGGGGGGGGGGGGGGGGGGGGGGGGGTATCTGCAGCTTTTGGTCGTCCTGATGTACTCCAATGGTTATGGGATTCCAAAGGATACCCAAAAGGTTTGATTTTCAGCTTTTAAACTTCATATTTCAACTTTACTTCGGATATGATGAATTATGATCTCTGTGATTTTGGTTTTCAGGTCATGTTCCCACAAAGGCTTAACACATATTAGTTCACGTATCTAGGATAGATATGTATCGGATCCCTTTTGGTCGTAAGATTAAAGCAAACTGTGATAATTGTTCAGCTATTAGTCTCAATAATAGTCCTTTAGGCGTGATTTGTGATTAACTGATATGTATATGCATATGTATTAGTCCACGTACCAGAACGAAGAAGATGCTATTTGAATCTGTTAGACAAGATAGAGATACTTCTGAAAGAAAGGATTCTTCGCGCAACACGCCTTCTACTTCAGAAACAGACACAAAACGTGCCAAACAGTAAGCAAACTTTTTCTCTCTTTTGATCCTTTCCCATAACGATTATATAATTTTTTCTGTTAATTATTCTCATGTAATTTACTAAAGTTATATATCTGGGAATTGGTATCCTTTACAATTTATGTTAATTTCATTATATCATTTACATTGTGTTGGATGCTTATTGGGTTTTAGTTTTTGTTTGCAGTTTATGGTCCACAACCTGAGGTTATATTTATTGTTTTTTGTGAGAAACATGCCTACAAGATGTTCAATGAAATGCATGACCCAATTAAGGTATTCATTCAAGTTTATTTTACCTGATTCATTACTTGATTATGTATGTTTGGTCACCTGTTTTCATTTAATTTTTGTGTAGGGTCACCATTATCCTTCAAGGTAAGGCTATCTTAAAATCTTAGATACACTTTATATGGCAAACACCATCATCCATATGATTTACCTTTTATTTATATATACTTTCTTTATTGCTATTTCTTACATTTTTAAAACCCCCTTTTTTGTGATCTATATATTCAGTTTCACACAAGTAGTAACATCAGATATGGAGGAGAAATCGGTCATTATAGGTGAAAGAAACAAGGCAGCAACAGAAGCATTCCAAACAGCAATCAACAAAGGTATTACGAAATAGCAACAGTAGAGGCATTATCAAGACTTGATAAATCAGATTTGGAGTGCATTAAATTGCAGGAGAGAAATATGGCTTTAGCCAAAGAACTTGCTTCACTAAAGTTGTTTTTTTTTCTAGATTAATGATTATGAGACTTATGATGCAGGATGTCTGATTTGAACTTAAATGAAGAGGAAATTGTAAAGCTTTCTTCTTTGGGTACACATGCCAATAGCAAAGAGAATATAGATGTTTTAAAAAAGTCTTTGGTTGTTCGTCACAAGTAAGTCACATTACTTTTTAACTTCATAAATAAATAAACGGATTTATTAATTTCCAACATCCTGATTATCTTCATATCACTTTTAAACGATCATAGATTCTTTTTTTTTAGTTCCACTGATAAAGTCGAGTCTTATAAAAGAGGCCACTCTAAAAAATTACCTCATGTTTGCTTCACAGTTAAATACACAACGACAACATCGATAAAGTTATGAGTAGGAAGGAGAAACTATCTCAAATCATTATTCTTTCTATCATATGCAGTAATGCAGTATGATTACTACATTTTTATAATTTCTATAATATATTACAAATGTTTGTTAATAGGATGTATAAGGATTTAATTGCAAAATGCAACACTTTGGGGAGAGATGAAGCACGTGCACGTAAAAAGCTTGAAAAAGCCAAAGAGAAGCTAGAAAAATTAAAGGTAACTCCATTCCAGAAATACCCTTTTTGTTTCCCAATTATTCTGAATAAATAATCTAACTTTGTTTAGTTTTCAGACAATAATCCAAGAAATGGAGACAAGCAGTGAAATCAAAAATAATGAGCTGTTGAGATCTCTAAAAGCTTCAAAGAACACAAACAGTTGTCCAAATGTCTTAAATGCCCCTGACCTGATCCATATCAACCCATGTACACCACAAAGTACAATATATGCATCAGACGCAGCCATTGATGATAGAAAGACAAAGAGGTTTAGAGGCTCTGAGAATATTGATGAAAGAAATAATAAAAAGGATGGAGTTAGTGGGCCCACCCCCACCCCTGCCCCTGAGATAAATTCTTACATTTTAATTGATGATGATGATGATGATGAGGTGTCAATATCACTTGAGAAACTGAAAGATGATGATGTGGTGGCACAAGATAAATCCATGCCTGACATCACAAAAGAAGCTTCTTTGCCTTTTCTTGATTCTCAACAAGGTAACTAATAGTAATAATGCTGTTATGCAATTTTTTAATGGAAAGTTTTTTTTTATATGTTTTGGTCCTCATTTTAGGGTTTCATAAGGTTTTGGTCCTGTCCCCATGTAAAATGACTATCGTGTCCCTCTTATCTGTTTTCTTTTTACTTTATTTTTAATGTATATATTATAAATGAAAAGTTATACAGGTTTCATTGCTTCACAGAAATCTCCAGTCCCGGAGAAAGGGGTATAAATAAATAAATAAATAATAATAGTTTGTAAAAGATGATATAAAGGGCAAAATAGGCATTCTTTGACCTTTGAGTATTCATTTAGCCATATGTTATGTAGTTGGTTTTAACTTTTAAGAAGAGGTTGATTTATAATTTAACATCTTCTTTGTTGAATCTTGAAAAGGAGGAGGAGGAGGAGGAGAGTTTTGTTTCTCGGGTGGATTGTTGGACCCAGATGGAAGTAAAAGACATCTTGGAAAATGGTGCAAAAAGGGTTTTAATTTAAATAATAATAATAATAATAATAATGCATCTTCAATAGCAACACCAACACCAATGCAAGCAGCATCTGGCGATCTTATTGCTGTTGGATCCGATGGCAGAGGTGGAACAATCAATTCACTTTCATCTTTATAAAATATACTCTTTACATTTCAAAATATTTATGTTTATTCTTTTAATACCAACAGGATTCCAGGAAATCGTCTCCTATTACTTACAAAAGGAAAGTTGGGGGCCAAAACAAGTAGTTTGCAGTCTCATGGGATCCACCACTTTTTCAATAAAGCAAGCCAAAACAAGTTGGGGGCCAACCGAACCCCGCGGAGCGGGTACCCCAGCTATATATATATAGATATATATATATATATATATATAGATAATTATAATATATAATATATATATATATATATATATATGGCAAGTGACACCTTTCTAGAGTATCAGGTTAAAATTATTTATTAAAACTAAATATTAACATGAGATAATTGATATATTTATTAATATAAACGCAAATAATTATATTCTAAGTTTATAACTTAGGGCGTGTCTGGCACGGAGATTCTATCTTTTTGCTTTTGACAAAACGCTCTAGTTTAAACAAAAAACTACGTTAGACAGTATGAGCTTTTATCTTTTAGTTTAAACAAAAAGCTCCAAATCTAAAAACTACTTCATATAGCATTTAACAAAACGTTACTGAGCTTTAAATCAATTTTCATAATTACCCTTAAAAATATATTTAAATATTTATTTATTTTTAAACAATTATCCTTTTATATAATTTTATATATTTCAAAAGCTTCCAACTACTTTTGTGTGACGTCCTCCATTTCACGGCCAGAAATGATCCGATTTGTTTATGCTTATTTAAATCAGAGTATTCTTTTCAAAAGAGTAATACTGCTGAATTTGTTTCCAGAAAAACATAATAAATATATTATCAAAGCATTATCGAAGAAATGTATTATATATATAATATATATATATATATATATATATATATCTATATATATATTATATATCTATATCATCTATATATATAAGGAAGTTAGCAATAGTAACTTTTATTCCTTTAGGTTTTTGCCACAAATGTTTAGTGAATTTGACACTTTTAGTCCTTAAAGTCAAAACTTTTACATTTTTGTGTTTTGATTAAGTTTTTGTGCCTTTAGGTTTTTGCCACAAATCTTTAGTAACTTAGACACTTTTCGTCATTTGCAGTGAAAACTTTTATATTTTGGTGTTTTGATTAAGTTTTTGTGCTTTTAGGTTTTTGCCACAAATCTTTAGTAACTTCGACACTTTTCGTCCTTGCAGTGAAAAGTTTTATAGTTTGGTGTTTTTGCCACAAATCTTTAATAAATTTGACACTTTTCGTCCTTGTAGTCAAATCTTTTACATTTTGGACATAAAAAACACAAAAAACCTCCTTTAGAATTTTGCCACCATATTTTCCCAACTTTGGCAACTTTCACATTATTGTCACAACATTTTTGGATTTTCTCCACCAGTGTCCCTTCTTTTGGTAGTACACTTTTGACATCTAATTTTCGGGGTTGTCGACTTTCTCTCCTATTTGTGGTGATTTACACTTTCAGTACATATTTTTTTAAGTTTTCCGATTTTCCCCATATTACCCCAAAAGCGGCGTAGCCGCGACTTCTTTACTAGTTTATATTAAAACTTTGGGATGTCATCGTTAATACAGAAACATACGCATAAACATACCTTACACTTATTTACACTAGTGGTCTACATCTCTTTTAATCTCTCAGTGTAATGTAGCTTCACATCGACACCTGTGATACAAATAAACTGAGTGGGTGAGGTTGTGAAACCTGGTGAGTACATAGGGTTTTCAACCCACAATAATAAAGTTATTATGTTTTATCATCAAACAATTAACTCAATTACTCATCCCCATTATCTTTTTTATTTTTTAAGGATCTACCCTAAGAATCATATATTATTCATTTATTCATTCCTAAGGATTGTCCTAAGGAACAGGCACAAAGTTCCATCGCTGCCAATGGCATAGGTGCCAATGTTATCAATTAGGCACAGCTGCCAATATTATCATTTAGGCACAGCTGCCAGGATTATGATGTTCCCTATTAGGCACAGCTGCCAATATTATCCTTTAGGCGCAGCTGCCAGGATCTTTAGAGTACATTTGGTGAACATATAGTTCAAAAACACCTACAGGTTGTGGCGCAGCTGCTGATATTATTATTTATAATGCACTAAGTTCATAGCTGCCAATGTTCATCTATATCATCTTTCATCCCTCATCATTCATCTACCCTTCTTTACCAAATATTTTTATAGGTATAAAATACATATACAGTTTAAATCAAATAAAACATGTATATTCGGTTCATCCAGCATAGATATCTAGAACACAGATAACATGCAGACATAGCACGTAATTTATATTAAATACCTCATATCTATGTGTAAGATGAAAGTAACTATGCTCTCACTTGGCTAGTTAGTGCTGACTAACTATTGTCGTGGCATCAAGTTTAGCACTGATTTCCAACTTATTATCTTGCCGAAACCTTATTTATTTTTATACTCCTTGGTCTCTCAAAACTTCTTTACGATATATTTATTTGTTTTATAGAAACTATTGATCGTTTGCCTATTTATACTCAAAATTTGATTATCCTCCGTACAATCTAAAAGCTTAATCATCGGCATTATTGACACGATATCTCAAGAGTTAACATGTGTCACTCTAAATAAACACGTAATGCCTTTTTATTGTACGATCACATATTTAAACAATGTGTGTTATTTTTAATTAATAAAATATATACGTCATTTCTTATATTTCTTACACATATGTTGGTTTGCAATTTACAAATTATAGTTACATTTATGGTCCCTCAGTTATTCTTGTATTAACACAATATATCATTCAAGTTACACTATAGTCCCTTAACTATTTATTAATAAAATCAATATACCCTTTATAATAAAATCTTATCCAAATCATTTAATTTGTTCCTATCCAAACCTTTTATGATTAACTAACTCAATATGTATGTGTATTCTTGACTTTGTATCGACGAGTATTACAACATTCATTTAGACTTCATCGGCAAATTCTCTATTTATCTCAAATTTACAAATGTGCACTAATTTTGCTGCGTTTCTAAACTTAGGGACCAAGTTTCACTAACATCTTTCGTATATGAGCTCTGTTGTCAACGTTCTTTATATCCACGCGTAGCTATCGACGAGATCTACAAATTTCGTTTAGACACCGTCGGCTAATTTTGACTTTATTCATATTTTTATAAAATTAAATGATTATGCTAAAATCATAACTCTCTTATACAGACTCCGTTTTTAACATTCTTTTTCTCAAAATTCCTATTTTAAGGAGTACTGCGATTTTCGTTTTGGTGGCATTAGCTAAAAGTCAACCATTCTCTTTGTAGCTTTTTACGTCACACATTCCTTGTGTGTGGTTGACTTTTATATCTTATAAAAAATCATATCTAATTCATACGGATTCAGATTTCGACGAAATTTAAATTTTCGGGATCGGGACAACGTGTACCGTCTAAATATATAATAATTCATATATATGTTTTGGCCCACTTATTTTTAAGATTAACGGACGATTTGGCTGATTTTTCCTATTTTACTATATAATAATCATGAAACACATAATATTCATATAATTCTTCTTTATTACGTCAAATAGGTTACAACTGTTGACCCTAACTATTACTTTGGTTAATGGTTGACTAGCCGAATCTGCAGGTGTTACATTTATCTCCCCCGTAGGATGATTACGTCCCGGAATCATCAACAAAACAAGAGTTGTATATTCACTTTGTACGTTTCATTTCCATCCTAGGTGGTAATCGTAACTCTTATGTCCTTTCAAATGAGTATCTAACTCTAGGACTCCTTGACTGTTGGTGGAACACAATCTTGCACCTGCTCTTTATCCTATGTTGGACTTTCAATCGTAACCTTCGAGTTACAAAATCAATCCTTATTGGAGACTCCTTCTCCTTCTTAAACATACTTAACTTAAGATAAGGTCTTTACTTTGATTAATGTATCAAACCGATGGGTCATGTTCTAATGACCTCTCAACGTATGATGCCATGCTTAACTCATGTCTTTTTGAGTCAGATTCCAAAATGGAAGATACTTCCCTTCATGTTCTAATGCAATATAATCACATTCTAGCATGTAGCACTTCTATCTACAAGGTTCTTACTTTAACAATGATCGCGATACTTCTATTGATCGCTTCGATTATCTTTCACTTCAATCTTCTGGCTTAAGTCGGATGTTACATCGATCTTGGTTCTCTGAACCACATAACATACTCGTATTAGTTTGACTCGATTTGATATGACTACTAGGTTCGTAATAACAATCATCTTCTTAGTTGTAACATCCCAAAAATCATGACCAAAAATTTCATTTTTGATATAACGATTCATAAAAAAATTTATAGAAAACATCATCAAGTTATTTCATTTCATAAAAACCATAGATCATATGTCTTAAAAGCATGCCATAATATAGTAACAATGTCAGAGTACAAATCCCAAGAATCTCATATCCAGAAAATCGTGTGTGTAATGCGCTGCTACCGTGTCGACTCTTTTCCCTTCGAAGAGGAAGTACCTGAAACCAAAACTAAAAGTCGTAAGCACAAAGCTTAGTGAGTTCCCCCATCATACCACCTACCATACACAACACATACTGCCTAACATATCTAGGTACTAGCTACCCCTTCGGTTTCTTTCAATCGGTAACTTGCCTAGCATATAAGGGTGCTGGCCTACCCCTTCGATCCTATCGACCGGTAACTTGCCTAGCATATCAGGGTGCTGGCCTACCCCTTCGGTCCTGTCGACCGGTACCTCGCCTAGCATATCAGGGTGTTGGCCTACCCCTTCGGTCCTTTCGACCGGTATCGGGGACTATTTCACCCCCTACTTCTAGCACATAGCATCCTAGTGCATAAACATATAAGTCATATATTTCCTAGCTTATCCGGGTGCTGGCATACCCCTTCGGCCCTATCGACCGGTATTGGGGTCTATCCTACCCCTCCTACCACTATCACATAACATCATAACATACTAGCACATAAAGCATAATAGATAGTGACATACCAGATAATTATCACAAAGACAATAATCTCTACTATAACTCTTACTAGTGGGCCGACATTGGTGCCTTCGACCCACTTCTTGTTGGAACCTGAAAGTAAACCTCTAGCAATCCTAAGTTCAAGTAATAATTCTGAAGTCAACATCAAGTTCCGAAGTGAAAAGCAGTTCGGAAGCTGTCCGGACGTGAAGAGAAGTT